TGCTTCCGCCGGTCTTACGACAATGCTAGAGGAAAGGGAGCCAACAGAGCCAAGTCTGGCGTCTCTAATCATCGATGAAAAGACGGTTGGCAACGCCCGAGTGAGTAGTCGTGCCTATGCAAAACCGGCTCAAAATTCGACCGAATTGATAAAAAATGGTCATGTCTTAACCCCCGAAGGACGTGTAAAAGAGCATCGGACCCCGAATAGTCAGAAAAATCTGGTCACCATGACAACGGTATAGCCATATGCAATGAGGGAACTTATCCAATGTAAAAAGAAATCACATAATTTCATCAACTTCTTTCTAAATATTGCCACATTTAAAGCCATGCTTACCCACATGCACGAATGCACACACGCACATACGCACCACTCTGCTAAATGTTATCTATTCTAGAAAAGATATAGAAACAACTAAATCTGATTGTCTTTCTGCTGACCTGCTTTCTTCTTGCGGGTATACTCAATAATTTATTACAAGCTTTGTTCTAGGCCGCTACCAATATAAATTACCCAAATAAGTTTCACTACTATCATTCGCAATATGATTATATCCCTCAATCTTTCCATCTTTTAATATATCTCTTTATCTTTTTCTTCGCTGCTCTCAACCATTATATCTAGCCACCGAATTTTTAGACTTCCAATATTGCCTGCCTTCTTTGCACTTAATTGTCCTATTCTTTACCGAATGTCTTCCCACCGTCTGCCATAATTATCTACTTGGTAACACTATATACTTTATTTATTTATTTATTTTTGTGTCACATCTAAACCGCTGGTTAACCATTTGCCTATTCTCTCGTACTGTACATCTAACAGTCTATCGTTGGATATTTCCCCTTTCTTTATGCAAGATATAAACATTTCTTCCTTTGAATCTCAATATTTGTATATCCTCCATCTCTTTTACAAGCTACTCTTCAGTTATTTACACAATTGCGTGAGCCCGTGTGCAAAATTCAACATAATCAAGAAGCGGGATCGAAGAAAGCCTGATTTACTGCCTCCTGCCTATCTTCATATGTCCCATCTCAGCACTAATTTTCGAACCTTCCTCTCCCATCTTTCATTTGCCATACTTGATCCACTCCTGCCATATTTTTCATTGCGATTGGATAACTGATCCTGTTTGGCTTGGAAAACGAGAAATATGATATTAACAGCGACTATTAAATTCCAACTCGGAAGCAGCCAAAATTGTGCCTTGGAAGAGTGTTTTTTGTAAGTTTTCCTCCCTACTTCAGTGTTTCCACTAAGATAGCCAAGGCAGGCTATTCTGAGGTAGCTTCCGTGAAAAATTAACTTCGAATAATCAATATAATCGCGTAAACACATATTTAAAAAGAGTTAAAGAATGAGATAAATTTTATAAATATATATTTAATTAATACACAGCTTACGATTAGCCTTTTCTATACCTCAGTTCAGCGAATCGTAGGAAAAACTAGTTCTCTTTCCTCTATGCCCTAAGAATACCTTCTAGTGGCTTACTCTAGATCGCATCATACACAAACAAGAAATAAAATAACTCCATATAAAGTTTTTTACGCTTCTTAACTTGCTCAGAGCGCAGCATGTAAGAAGAGTGGCAAATTTTCGATAAATCGCATGAGGCATAATTATATAGCTGACTCTTATTTTTAGTTAAAGTTTAATGCAGATATCAGTGGGTTGATCTCTCAAAAAAACGTTGTATTATCCTGTTTGAGAATTGTATTCACCCCAGATAGTACTAGGAGATAACAGTTGAGTTTTTCCATAATGCCATGAGTAAATATCAAAACAAGGTCGAAACGGAAAAGAAAAACTTTAGATAAAGCAAGGCCAAGCGAATTTCAATGATGTCATGTAGCCTATTCATATCATTATAGGAAAAAATTTATTAATATTCCTTATATCATTTTATGTGGTCTCGTGTGACTAAGCTCTTGTACAAGAAAAGCCGACAGCCCCGAAACCGAATACCAG